AAGAGGGAACCGATTACAAGGAACTATATGTGACCTCCTCCCTGGGGGACAGACAACCGAAAAGTGGGTGAAGGGAGACATCGTACAGGGCAAGATATGACAAAATATCAATTTATAAATTATCAAGGGCTCATGAGGGAGAGGGGAGCAGGGAGGTGAGGGGAAAAATTAGGAACTGATGCCAGGGGCTTAAGTGGAGTGCAAATGTTTTGAGAATGATGAGGGCAATAGAATGATGAGGGCAATGAATGTATAAATGCGCTTTACACAATTGATGTGTGTATGGATTGTGATAAGAATTGTATGAGCCCCTAATAAAATAATTTTTTTAAAAAACAAAGAAAAAAACCTCCAAAACTCATTGTCATCCAGTCAATTCCAACTCCTAGCCAACTGTAGGACAAAGTAGAATTTCCCCGGTGGGTTTCTAAGATTGTAACTTTATGGGAGTAGAAAGCCTCATCTTTCTCCCATGGAAGACTCTGTGATTTCGAACTGCTGACCTTGCAATTGGCAGCCCAGTGTAGAATCTATTACACCAGCAGGGCTCCTCAAACAGCAGCCAGGGATCCTCAATTGTGCAGTAGACCTCTCTCAATGAACCCCAGAAGATCCCAAATGCAAGGGGTTTTTTTATGGACCTTTCTGGCAAATGATTCACCATTCCACAATATTTTGTTTTTAGATAAGCTGCTTGCAAGCAGTAACCTACGAGATGAGTTTGAGAGTGACTAAAGTTTGGTATAGAAACTAAAATTAGCTCCTGACCATGGCTTCCTGAAGACTCAGATTTTTCTAAGAAGTGTCTGCCACAGAGCGAATGGCAATCAGCAAAGCCCGATGTGCACGCCCGCAATCAGTGCAGTTGGAGTTAGTCTGATTTGGAAGGAGGGCGTGTTGTTGAGAGGACATTATTCATGTTGTTTTAAATTGGGTGTGGTTTTGACCTGCTGCTCTTCTCTTTTTAAAGGAAAGTTTGTGTAAGTTCATCCTTGGTTGTTGGCTTGACCCTAGAATGTGTATTCTAGAATACACATTTGCTTCCACAGCATTTGGGGCTTGTAGTTTTCCACTGACTTGCCCTCAAAATATGCGTATGTATGTTTTTGTTGAGTGCTCCGATTTCTGCCAGAAGAGCAGCCGTGTGCATATCTATGCCCCCAATTCTTTGCAACATGGCAGTTATAATCACTTGGTCTGTTTTCATGGGCAAATTTGAACGTGCGAAGAAATGGGCCATGATGTTGTTTATGACTGCTGAGTCAGCCTCCTCGGGCTGGTTTGACCTACATGCTCCAGGCACCTCTCCTTCCTTCCAACACCAGCCATTGGTGGTGACCCAGGGACTATGTAGACTCGAGTTTGGATTGCGTCCTCTCCGGTTTGAACATGTGCTTTTAACCCTGGCTTCCTGGTGACTGGCCTGGTTACCATAGATTGTTACCTTTACTGGTAGCTAATCAATTGTAGGCCTGGATCCCTCAAGTGACATCACTGACTGACCCTGATTGATTTTAGATTTTTGTTTTCAAGGTGTGTAAATAGATCATTGACTTATTTTTTTCATTAACAAGATATCCATACAGCTAAGGTGGGCAGTGCTTTCTCAGCTGAATCCATAGTTCATGCTGCCAGCTGGGCCG